AGGTTGGAAAGTTCACATGTAGACCTGGTGAAGCCAAGAAGCTTCCTGGAAAGTCCAATTGCCTCTTGAAAAGGCACCTTTGGGATTTGGAAAGAATATTTTGTTTGAGCATTTAGATTCTTCTTAAGGCTCAAAAACTATGTCTTGCTTTTGTTTCCTTTAAGAATGGTTGTCCTTTACACACTTCACTGTTCCTAGGCCTTGAAAGCAGCTGACCCAGGCAATTCAGATAATATGTACCTTCCAAGGATTGTTTTTCATTAGATAAATGCATTCTGTAAAAACATGAGAGACCCTGTAATAGGAGGAGCAAAGTTCCTTTTATGGGACATGTGATGATGGGCTTGAGCGAATGGGTAAGAGGGTGGTGTTGAGAAGGTGGGACTGATTGCAATGTCTATGACGTGTGCTGGTAGAACGAAGTCTTTGCAGTTGCTCTTGGAGGAAGACTGAGAACTTGACTTCAGATAGCTGCCTGCCTTTTTTTCCTCTTAAAAAATTCATCCTGGTTGAGGACAAACTGGGTAAGTAAAAGAAACAGTATTAGTGAGCAAGCTAGCAACTTGAGGTCACCTGGAGGACTGACTTCCAGGATAGCCACACCCTGCCATTTACTCTAAAGAGTGTCTTTCTGGTAACTTGACCTAGAAGGTAGTAAAGGGAATTTATAGTCTTGAAGTAGTTTCCCAAATTAAGTCATTTCATCCTTGGTAAGTATTTGTGATTTCCCCCCCCCTCTTCTTCTTATGCCTAGTGACTCTCTCTCTCTCTGTGTGATATTCTTTATTGATAAAACCTGCCTATTGACCAAAGCTGTGTGTCTGCTGGTTTCAGCTGCCCTCAGGCCTCTGCTAGCCTTGTTAGTGATGACCAGAGAACCCTGAATAGCAAGGGGAACCAGTGAGATCCGCATGCAGGGCAGCAAAAGGTTGTAACGATTGAATCATAACTGGGCAGAATATAACTTTAAATTGTTAAGAGGACAGCCCAGAAAGAAGCTCATGGAGAACCAGTAATTAGAAAGTGTTCAGGTGAATCATAAGGCTGGTAAACTGGAGGCAGGTGTGTAATTAAGGTGCTTACAATTTTCCCTTTGAGGAAGGGTTTGCTGGCTGGGGTAAATTGTAAGGAATTTAATTTCATATAGCTGTTTTATGTCTTAATCAACTCAGCTCAGAACAACTGAATAAAAAAATATTCCAACACTTAACAACAATCCAGGTAAGTTCAATGAGGTTGAATATACAGAATTACTATACAGAAAGAATATATAGCCACTCGTCTGACTAAAAGCAATTCTGGGCAGTGCATAACGTCTTCTAATTATATGTTATAATAATTCTTAAATCTAGTTTGGTATTCGAGGTTGGTTCTCTTCACTGAATTTTAGAAATTTCTCTTTAATTATTAGCATCTCTTTCCAAGAAGTACCTGCATTTATATGGGTAATCCACAGCATCTCCTTGCCGCCCCCCCCCCCCCCCCCCCAGCAAAGTAAAAACTTTGGTCCTTTCGGGGACTTGGTATAAGTTTAAACATTATTTTTAACGGCGTCCCTGTCAGATGCCCCGAAACAATCTGGTGTTGATCAAACTTTTAAAGGAAGACACATTATTTAAGACATAAGTCAATGATACCCTGGCTAGATCTAAACGGGACTTGTAGCCCTCGGGAGGTCTCGCTTTTGGGGGGGGGGGGGGAAGCGGACTTTTCACCAGCGCTCCTTCCCTTTCCACCGCCGTGGCTGAAGCCTCCTGGACGCTTCACGCGCCGGCAGTTTCCGCCTTGAGGACCATCACGTGTGCTCGCGCCCGGTGTAACGAGGCGCTCAACGCAGCCCCCTCGGCTGGATTCTAACACGGGCACCGCCCCCTTATCCACCGTCTTCATTTCAGGCTTGCCCGCTTGCCTTGCGCCCGGCGATAGGTAGGTCGATATTGAAGCTTTATTTGGGGGAAGGGATGCTGGAGGCGACGCGTCCAAGAATTGGTCTTTCTCCCGGTTCTTTTCCAAACTCCCTTAGCGAGAGTGGGAGGAGAACACCATAAGAGAGCGCGCTTTTCAATCGGCTGCAATTGGAGCGCCTAGCTCTCGCGAAGCTTCTATTAGCACCCACAGAAAAGTTTCAGTTTCTTCAAGAGCAGGTCACCCATCACCCCTTCTTGGGTCGTCTTCTGAAAAGAAATAGTATTTTAGAGAAAGTTTATTTAGGACCGCAAATTCGCGTCCATGGAATAAGCTATGTTTAATAACTCAGGAGGGAGACTTCTGTTAGGGAAGCAGTGGTTACATACTAGCTAGATCAATACAGCTGTAAAATTGGGGAAGGCAACCGGGTGCCTATCAAATACTTTCGTATTACAGATACTGTAACTGCAAGGCTGGCCAGATGAAGCTTTGGCTCCATTCTTTTAGCTTAAAGAAACAGTATCTTGATGATGCAAATCGTTACGCTCTTAGCCAGTCCTTAACCCAATCATTACTAATGGGAGGGGACAATTCTTTAGCTGTTTGAATTCTCCCAGGTATCCAACTAAATTCTCCCAGGTATCCAACTAAATCATTGAAACTTCTTCAAGCTAAAAATTAGCACATTGGTTGAGAAACTTTAGGGAACTATTCATGAAACATATCAAGAGGATATCAGGTTGCCTATTAGTGGCTTAATAATAAAGTTTATTGAATAGCTTCTGGCCTTATAAAGGAAATTCTGAGTATTTGAACAAAAAATATTAGTGAGATGTACCGCAAGTCTGGGCAATTCAGCTGTGCTTATTGAAGTCTTGTTTCTCTCTCTCCTCCTCCCCCCACTTTTTTTTTGCCTGCTTAGGATCGAACTTTTCCTTCTTCTGAAAAGAAAACCGTGGGATTGCTTTTGGCTCTTGGCCCAACTGATGAAAAGGGTAATTTTATTCATTTCCCTAATTTACCTGGAAAGAAAATTGGGGTTCCTTTTGGGTTCTTGATAGCTGAATGCTTCTTAATCCAGTTTGCTAGGGAACAGTAGTATTGCCACCATCACCACTAAGATAGACCTTCATGGATCGATTGTATGCTACAAATGGGCATTTCACATGGCCTTGCAAGGATCTTCTACACAATGGAAGGCTAGACAGAGAAAGGTGGTGAATAGACCTTAGATCCCTGGTTGTGATGCAACCGGTCTCATGCCATGAATTATGACAGATGTCCAATCTAATAATTGAAAGACAGTGACTTGGAAAAGTGTGTCAAATGGATGAATTCTTATCTTAAACTGTAGTTTAGTCTAAAACACCCATGGGGAAAAGGGAAGGGGTTCAACTATTGGTTTAAAAGCGTGTAGTCAGTAAATTAGCCATTGCGCCCAAGCTGCTAAAACAGAATGGAAAAAAATAAAACTTTAGTAAGCAGATGGAAGAAAAGGTTGTTTGTAGCAAGAACTCTTTCTTTTATGGAGAACATAATGCACCATTATTATGTTCTCTATAAAAGTTAACTGTACACCTGATATATATTGAATAGTTTACATTTAAATAAAGACATTTGGCTGCACTGAAACACCTAAACATGATTCTTAAAATCAGAACAATTTAGGAAGGATGGACAGCAATATGTTTTGGAACTTCACTATTACCAGCACTATCCATTATATAGAAGTTGAAAATGTACTTCTCTGGAGAATGCACCTTCCTTTAATAATTACAATATGTAATGAGATGCAAGGACAAAACTAGTTCAGTATCACAACAGTTGCTAGCTCAACTATACAGTAAGGTAAGAATTAATAGGCTTGTTCTTGGAAGCCAATTACTCATTGCAGCTAGATTTCATAGCTCTTCATGTACATTTTCTGTTAAATTGTTAAAACCTATAAAGCTTCATGTTATCATGAATAGGGAAAAACTTCTAACTGTATTGGAAGAGGACTGAGAATAGTATAGAACAGAGGTGTCAAACTCAATATTGTCACAGTGGCATCACGTGATGTATCAGGATGTTTTTCCTCTTTGCTAAACCAGGCCTGGGCAGCGAGTGACACATCTGGCTGGGAGTTTGACAGCTCTGGTATAGAACAAACTTATATATTAGGGAAGAGCTCTTTTTCACTCATACAACACATGATTCAATTCCTGGTATTTTTAGTTAGGTAGAGAAAGTTGATCTGAAATTCCAGAGGGCTGTGGCCAATGTGAACAATATTAAGTTCAGAGGTCCATTACATTGATTCTGTTAAAGAGAATTTCTTCTATCTTCTTAATGGGATGCTTCTGTTCATGTATCCCACCAAACAGCATTTTTGCCACCGAGCATGCTGAATCCTGTGGGTTTATTTTCTTTAGGAATTATATATTTAATGCCATTTTTCTCTCTGAGATCTTCAAACTATCCTGATAATGTTCTTATGTTTTGGTAATTATGTCCATTGTTTTGGCTATGTACCAATTAGCCCTGGACAAAATGAAATTGCTGTGACAGCAGATATATAATGACCTGGATTGAAATGCCACTAAATTGTTCTTGAATCCAACCATGCTTGTAAAGTTGTCAGTTCTGTGCAACAAATACTATATTTCACTAAGATGTCTTACTTGTAGTGTTGTTCTTTAATTATCCTATAATAGGTACTATTTTGGAGGAAGAAATTATCCATTTTTTAGATTTGGGTTTATGTTAATAATGTATGTTGGTATTAAATGTAATAATATTTTATATGTTAGGTTACACTTGGCTCCCATTTGTCCTTTATATTTACTGCCCTATCTTTAGGTAATTAATAAACTATTTGTTGCTTATACCTGTACAAATCTGTTATTTTTTTTAATTTTGTTTACTATTAATCTACTGATTTGCAACCTGAATCAATCTGCCTAGCATCTTCTCTCCATTGGTTTATTAGTTTTTCTGGGTGTTACTTAAGGAATAGAACTGAGTAGAAAATTAAGATCATGGTAGTATTCATAACACAAAATGATTATTTTTCCAAGCTTGACTATTTTATATTTTTATGAATTGGACAGATGCTGGAATTTGTTGAAATATTTAATGTCCCAGATGATGATGATTTTCTTGGTTTGGAACTTGATATTCCCATGGAAACATTGTCATTGGATGACAGAAATGAGTATGATAATATGCCTGGAACATCAAGGATGGTAGGAGAACAATTTATACCAAATTATGCAGTTTTCATCCAGTGAATCTCATGGTCTAAATTGCAACTTGATTTTTTTATGATATAATTGTTTTCTAAAATACAGTAAAATCAAGTGAAAAATCTGAAGTAAAATTTTCTTCTTTTTATAGCTGCAGGTTCTATTTCTATTTCTCTATGGACTGTTCTTCCAATTAATATGCAGTTTATTGCTTGATCTAATACTTGTTACTAATAGTGTTTAATGTTGCTATATATGATTATGGACTTAAGGCTATTCTCTACATAACTGTGGTAATTTCTGCAGTGTAATTTTTGTTACAGTATTTCAGATAAATGAATGATTGAATTAATTGATTAGTTAGATATCATAGTAAGCTGGCTCTTGTTTGAATCTATATTTGAAAATATTTTACTATTATATTTTCTGCTGTCCAATGTAGATCTTGGCCATCTGTCTTTTGCTCTTTTTCTGTGTACCAAGTCAGCTTGAACAATACATCTGAAATTACTGATTACAAACTCGATAATTGTGAATCTGTTTAAGTAAAAATCAAGATATTTTTAAAAGATACCTTCTAATATGATTGGTGTAGCTAAGGTAAATAAAATATATATTTTCCATAATGGAAGTGCAACTGTATGTAACATAGGTTGTTTATTCATCCTTTTTTAGGCAATGGAATTGGAAGGAGACAATAACCCATCTTTAATTGAGGAAGAAGAAATGGAAACCGACTCATCTCATAAGAAAAGAAGGTTCAAAATTCAGGGGACATCACAGCTTCCTAAAAAGATAGCTACAAAAAATACAAATGGGAGAAACGCAGATCAAGATACTTCTTCTGAATCTGAGGCAGATGAGGCATCAGATGAAAACTCTAATGTACTTTTGAAAAGAGATCAGAATATAAAAGAAAATAAAGCTGTGGTAAGAACTAACTCAGCATTCTTAAATGGCATTAATAGTCAAGAAAACAAGAAGTGCAATTCTAATTGCCTCTTTTGCTTTATCAAACATTTTTGTATCAAACAAAGGCAAATTAATTGGATTTTAGTGAGGGATCCAAAGATGGATCACCTGTTATTGGATTAATAAGAACAAATTAACTTTTCAAGCCTTATGCATTATTGTAGTTCAAACTGTCACCATTTTGTTTGAGTTTGAATTCCATATTAACTATAGATTTGTTCTTGTGGTTGCACCGAAGAGGGAAAACTTGAGGTGCATTTTTTAAATACTACATCACATAGTAGCAATATAAATGCTGGAAGCTCAATATGACTAAAAAATATGCCCAAAGTTTTTCAGTGAAATTCTGTTTATACGTTACAAGTATTTTCCTTGAATTTCATATCTGCAGTAGATTTAGTGGGCACTCTGCCTTCATACTGCCTCTCCTCACTCATTGGGTGAACAAGGCCTGGAACCTTGTTTGTCCATGCTTATAATTGCATATAATCATATATTGCTACTTAATAAATTTTAAACCATTGTACTGTGTAAAAAACATAGTGTGCTTTGAATTTGCCACCTTACTCTTTGAAATGAAGGACAAAGCTTGCTAACATGGCATAAGTATATAAGAAATTGCTTCCATAACTTTTGAAATATGAATAAGTTTATTATTAACTTGAAACTTTTACTGTAATATTCTGAACAGTGAAACAAATATCAGTGTGATTTTAAACTATGTGATAACATTACTAAAACTATTCTAAAAATGTGAGGATTTATATTTTTAAAAATGCATCATGAAATAGTATATAGATAATATTGCCATTAAGAACAAATTTGATTTATGGAGAAAATAAATTCCATTTTCCCATTTCAGCTTGCACAGTTACTAGCTGACCTAGAGTCTTCCATACCTGAAATAAATATTCCTTCCTCAACTGTAAGTATAAATAATTTTCTTTTACAAAAATTTGTTTTGCATTGAGTATATATGACTATTTTTTGCAAGGGTACAATATTATTTGCTGTGGCTTTTAAAAAAAATATATTTTGTACTTGAACCGAGTATAAATACAAGAAAGTCATAAAATTATGGCTTTTTTTTCAGTCAGATGTGACTCAAAGGATTAGCTCCCTACTCTTGGCATTTGCAGAATTTTGCTTCTAGTATATTTATCAAAAGCTTTCAAAATTTACATTTAGGAATGTCATGCACAAATTTACATTTAGGAATGTCATGTTTAGGAAGTCATGCACAATATCAGACTAACTGAAGGAACCAAGATTAGTTTTCACAATTTTATGCACCTCTTTGACCAATTTAGTAACTATTTATCTAACACTATAGCCCTTAGCCAATGCTCTTTTGATGTAGATATACTGCAACCTGTGAACTGTAGACACAATATACATAAAGAAGTGTGTTGTAGAATGTAGTTGCCTAATAATAATACTTAACCTAAGTACAGAAAAACAAGGAAAATGGTAGGTCTATGTTTCATGTTCTTTCAGATACTTGCTCTCTTAGGACAAAGAATTCTGAAATTAATGTTGGCATGAATTTTTATTTCCAACCTTTCCACAAATTTTGTCCAAATATGTATCAGTTCTTATTACATACATTCCCAAATAGTGTAGGGATTAGCAGACCATAAAAGGCATTTTAAAAAAAAGAATTTGAAATGGATTAAACAAGGTGACCATGATGAGCTACTGCTTCAGACTACATGTTCATTAAGAAAATGTCTCTCTCCCATTCGTTTGTTTTAGAAACGAAAGAAAGCATCAAGGAAAAGAGCTTCAGGAGAACCAATACAGCATCGAACTAATCCAACTAGGATTGCTCGTCCCCCAGAAAACTTCGCTGTGGAAAAAAACCTACCTGTGCAATGGGATGATAATGAAACATATCACAGCTTAATAAAGAATGAGGTATGTGATATTTTGGATTTATTTTAACATAATTAGCATAAAAGTAACATAAAGTAACATTAACATAAAAGTATAATTAGCAAGTAGCAAGGATGGAACTTACCAAGCATGACCTAAACATTTAAGTAAATAGACTAGTGCAGGGGTTTCAAACTTGTGTTGTCACATGACCTATTGTGACTTTTCCCCCTATGCTAAGATGGGGGTGGGCGTGGCCAGCGCATGACGCAGTTGGCCCGTAGGCTGCGAGTTTGACATCCCTGGCCTAGAGTCTATCCTTGTCCTGGTAATAAATAGTAAGTCTTGTGGTTTATAATCGATCGATTGCTGGGCTTACACACTGTTCCAGTCACAATATTTTTATTTACTTTTTATTTATTTATTTTTGTCAATTGCTTACAAGATAATAGGTGTAAGTAAAAACAAAGTTATGAATACATGGATACATATAAGAAAAATAAAAAAAATAAAAGATACAATAGGACAGGGATGGTAGGCACATTGGTCCACTTATGCACGCCCCCTACAGACCTCTTAGGAAAGGGGTGAGGTCAATAGTAGACAGTCTAAAGTTAAAGTTTTTGGGGTTTGGGGAAGAAACCAGAGTCAGGTAGAGTATTCCAGACATTGACCACTCTGTTGCTGAAGTCGTATTTCCTGGATACATTCTTTGACTACAATAGAGTTTGGATTGAACTGCTAAGCTGGGTGGACCATTTGAAGGTTAAAGATAGTTCAAAATATATTGAGGAAGCCCTTTGTCTATTCTGACCCAGAAGCAATATCACTAAATTGACTCTGGAAATTTGAATATGCTATTTTCAATTTTTCAATTTTTAAAAAGTGCTAACCCTGTCAGGATTTAAATGGCTGAAGTAAACAGAATAAATTTTGGGATTTGGCAGGAGAACAATCTATAAAAACCATGTTGGCTCATGAGGGTTATTGTGAAAATAGGACGAGGAAAGAGTGTGAGATATGTTAGCTATCTTGAGGTACTTTTAAAAATAATAAAGGTGGGATATAAAATAAAAAATATTTTTTGCAATGTTTTCTCGTCCTTTGTGCTGCAATTATTGAGTGGTGGTATACAGTCAATTAGAGGGGGAGAATTACATTTTCAGAAAAATAAGTCAAGAAAACAGGGAGAAGTTACTCTTATAAAAATAATATATGTATAGTAAATTAATGAAATATAAACTTCATGATTCAAGAAACAATTTATAATTATATATTTTATTGTACTAGATAATTCTTTAAAATAGACTTACTGTCAAAGCAAGCATAAATATTACATATTAAAAATATAAATATTTTAGTGGATAATCTATTTAGATTGTAAGTCTACTTGAATACAGAGTTTAAAGTTGTATTTGATTTAGAGATGGTGAATTTGTCTTATAGCCCAAAAAAAGAAAAACATCACACACAGAACCTCCACCAGATGTAACAAATGAAGACTTAGAACATATTGCATTTACCCATAAAGGGAAGATCTACCATAGGATTTTGGTAAGTGGTTTTCTTTATAAATTTGCTCAGTTTGAATTGAATGCAATGTTTTATATCAAATCAGTTTTTTACCCTCTTTATGTACACAATATTCTTGAGGTATCTTTACACTTATATAATGATCCAGCTGCCACAGTGTTATTTATATTGGTGAAATCACTTTCACTTCCCATGAGCAGGATTAATCTTGCCTACTGTCATAGTGTACTGTGAAGTATTTAATATTTTAATTATAGTCTATAATTATACTGACAATTTCTAAAACACACACAGTAAAATAACTACCAATAAATTATTTATCTTCTCAAGGTATTAGAAGTGCCTGCCTCAAAAAAAAAAAGAAGCAAATACTTACCAGGAATTTAAGCAAAAAAAAATGGGGGGGGGGGATTACTTATAATGCTAATTTTTGCATGATAGCTAACCCTCCAAAATGAAATGAGCATCAGATTAAGTTTGGGCTGGTTTTAGTGTTGCTAACTTGTAAAATCTGAAATATTGCTACAGCTTTGTAGAACCAATACAGTAGCAGGCTTTTCAGCTTCCATTTTATAAATTGGTTTTCCACTCCAGTTGAATTTATTGGCTAATTCATCTTGCCTTATTTGAAACATGCATTTGTATTGGGAGTTGTGAAAAAAGCTTCTTAATATTCCAGCAACAAACATGTATAATTATCTGTGTTTTTGGATAATAGTAATTCGTCAAATTCTTTATCAGAATAATAGGAATACATTGATGAAAAGCACCATGTTTATCTTCATACTGTATGTATTTCTAAAAATAATAACATTTGTCCACTATCAGGGAACCACATGCCATCAATGTCGCCAAAAGACAATTGATAAAAAAACAATCTGCCATAATAAAGACTGTGTCGGAGTGCGGGGACAGTTCTGTGGACCATGTCTCCATAATCGCTATGGAGAAGATGTGAAAGTGGCACTTATGAATCCAGTAAGTCTCTAGTTGTTTGAATTGTGGGGTAATGAAATGGAAGATACAGTGAAGTAATTGGTGATCTGACTGTTTTATTTTTATTATGTACATGACTTCAGAAACATGCAACATTGTGTCTTTATGCAGGACTAACTATATCACTAACTTTGTGATTTCCACGTTTAGGTGATAGCATATTACTTATAAGGTGAACTAATAGTCTTCTCCCACTTTTAAGAATTGGTTCTGTCCACCTTGCCGTGGAGTGTGTAACTGCAGCTACTGTCACAAACGTGATGGTTTCTGTGCCACTGGAACACTGATCCACCTGGCAAAGCTTTATGGTTATACCAGTGTAAAGGAGTACCTTGAAAGGTAAACTTATGCCTAACCTTTTATAGGGTGGTTTGTACCAGAAGTATTTCAATATTGTCAGTTCTAAGAAATCACTGTATGTAACAGTCTAATTTGCTGTGTTTATTTTACTTTTATTTATTTAGATTTATATTCCATCCTTTCTTCAGGGTGGTATACCTACTGCTCCTCTCATTCCCCCCCATTGCAAACTATCTTTTGGGGTAGGTTGGACTCAGAGAGTGAGCTTGAGCTGATATAGATTTTTCATGAAGTCTGCAGTCATGCAGTTCTACAAGTAATAATTTTATCTATTTGATCTTATGATTACTTTATATGGTGGTTGGAATATTTATATTCCTTAGTCCATTCTGAGCTGAGATTAAAAACAACAACAACCCACCAGGCAGCCACATGAAATTACGTTCTTTATCTGGGAGCAATGATAGCAAGCTGTTAGGTGAGTGGTGGCAAAACCCAAGTTAATATATGTCACAGCTTCTCCTTTCCCATTCATCTAATTCCATCCTCACATCATCCCCTAAATGGAATTTCTTTTCTCCCATGCCAGAGTATCTTACGTTTTCTGAGAATACACTTGTCTAACAAGAATAATGTGCCTGGATAAGCTACTTTTAAAGTCCATGAACAGTGAAGAATAAGAAGTTCAATAAATGTTAAGAAAGTGAGAGTCTTAATAAAATGTTCCTTCTAAATATTCTAATCCTGCCTAATATTTTGTAAAAATTAAAAGACTTTTAATTTTGAAAAATAATTTTGTGAATGCATGTAATGTTTTTGCTTTTTTCTTATAAAGGTACTGTTTACATTGGAAGCTGGAACAATGCTATTGGTAGGATAATAGAGCTTATAATGCGATAGTTACATTCTCTTTCTTAAACTCTAAATGTTTTTTTCTTTTTTATTGCAGTATGCCAATGTAGCATGTTAACGGAAATGAGTGAAAATCCCCGAGACACCTGTGTGAATTCTGGTTTTGATGATTTATATATATACTATATTTACTTAAAAATTTCATTGATAATCATTATTTTTAAATAATTCAGAAATGTGGAATAACCACTTTTGATATATTAAATATTTCTAAGGAAAAACGCTGTTAATATTGGGAACAGCAATATTTTCCAACATATAATAAAATGATCTACTGTTTAAAAATATTTTTCTTTATAGACTTAGTTTAGAAATACAATTCTAAAATATATAGAAATATTAATACAATATTTAGTAATAGTAATAAAAATTAAGAAATAGTAAATTGACCTTGTAATTTAAGTGAGACTTTAAACTTCTGAAGACAAGCAGCCCAAATCACTGTTTATTCTATTTATATGCAGAAAAATGTTATAAAGGTCAAGATTGTTTAAAATTGGAAGGGCTTAATTCAGCCCAGTTTAATTTTTACCAACTGAAAACAAACTTTAGGCTCAGAAGTGGCCAGTATGGTCATAATATATATTTGTTGAAATTTATCATTCAATTCTGTTGGATTTAAAATTGGATGTATGGCGAAGACTTTCACAGGATAAATAGCAAGAAGAAAATTATATCGGTCTTTCCACATAAGGCCTGGTGTTGATTGTTTTCATATTCATTGTGCTCTCTTAGAAAATTAAGACGATAAGTGATGAATTTAGGCTAAAATTTAACTCGTTTATTTTCATTATTATTATTTTATTAATATTAAATGGAAGAAAACTGCACATTACTCAATAGGGTTATCTATTTTTTTAGGATAACCATAGGCTGCAAAAATACAGAAGGTCACTAGGTGGCAGCAGAGTTAAGAGTTCTATGTGTTTTTCCTACAAAATTATAGTTTTCTCTATTTTTGCAATCCAGTAAAAGTAGTTACCATAGTTAACATATTTTACTCTCTGGGTATAATTAAGATATTTTAAGTTTTGGCTTACGGATATATTATATATTTTATTTTTTGCTTTTGCTATGCAAAACAGAACATACAAGTGACCTTAAAATAACTTGCATTAGTCTTACAGCATACATACGAGTCCTGTCTGTGCCATTTATGGAAACTTGAAATGTTATTCCCTCAGGTGAAAGGGAATAACATTTCAACAGTTTTATCTACATATTACACATGTAACATGTATGATTCAGTGACTTGATCCTTTGCATGATCACTTGTACATATGCACTGTTTCTATGTGCATTAATGTAAATATAGCTGTTGCATTAAACAAATATTCAATAAAAGCATTATCTTCAAGATTGTCTATGGTCATTTCAAATAGAAATAGACATGATTTAATGTGTGAATACCTTGGTTGTAAGTAAGAAAAATGTGTGCCTGAAAGTATATTGCTAAACTTCTAAAAGCAAGGCTACACCTGCAAGCACCCACTTGGATGGCTTTTCTTTAGTTTTTAACTTAAAAGTCCATGTGTAGGTGGGCCCTCTAAGTTTAGTCTTATAAACCGGACATTGGTAAATGTGCTTGGTTTCTTGCCTCTCTATTGGAATTGCTCTGGCAAAGATGACTGGTAGCATTGGAGTCAGGTCCTTCAAACGCGCTTCAGCTACAACTCCTGCTTGGATGTCCCACCTTGCTCCTGCAACCAAGAAATACACCTTTTAACTTCTGCAGGGCAAACGTGTGCAGTGAACTAGGTAGAATATGAATCACAATTTGTGTGCTTCCTTGTATGCCTGAAATCCTATTGATATTAATTCTGTGTTCTTTTACGAATAATGGGGCTTGCTGTTGAAAAGATACATTTCAACATTTTAGCAGCACGCATAGAATACTCTGTTGTGGTTCATTTCATAGTATTATATAGTGAACATGTTTTTTTAAATGCAGGTAGTCTTTGACTAATAGCCATTTGTTTAACCATTCAAAATAAGGATGGGGCTGAAAAAAGTGACATTATGATCCTCACACTTATAACTTCCCTGCAAATCATATGATCAAAATTAAAGTGCTTGGCAAACCGACATGTAGTTACAGTTGTGGCCTTATCACGTTGTCACCATTTATAACCTTCCTGGGGGACTTCCAACAAGCAAAGTTAATGGGGGAAGCCAGATTTGCTTAACAGGTTTGTGATTCGCTTAATGACCACGATGAGTTGCTTAATATACAGCAAACAAGTTCATAAAGTACTGGGTTGGCTTAATTATTGCATCGCTTAAATTGGGAATTTCTCATACCTATTGTGATCATAAGTCCAGGACTGCTCGTAATCAGAAACTTACACTTTTCACTGATTCAATAAAATATATTCCTTTTTGATATGTCTGATATTGACCATTTTTTTACAGGTGGGTCCTCTAACTAGATCATAATACAGAATTTTAATAAACTTACCTTCCATGTAAAGTCCAAAAATATATGCACCTTCTCTTGGTGGATGACCATAATCTTCTCTACTCTTTTTGGTAACATCAATAGTCAAACACATCTTATCCAGAGACCAATTATTTTTCCGTGCTGTAGTTTGCATAATGGCTTTCAAGAAGAAATGAATAGTACAAATTATTTTATGGATTGCATACTTATTAGAACGGATAATGTCCCCTCCCTTTGTGTCCAGTTCTTGGAGCTTACTGTACCTAGACAAATACCTTCTTTTGACAGGGTGGGGTTTTTTGTTTTGTTTTTGTTTGCTTCCTCCCTAGGATTGAGGGATAGTTACTGACTCAAGGTAGCTTTATGCCTAAGGTGGGACTGGAACTCATCTCCCAATTTCTGGCCTGTTGCCTTAAAACTGCACCAATAGCTATGTATAAAGTCATATAAATATGGGAAACGCAGAATATTATTCCTAAAAAAAAAAAATAGTTAATCCAACTTTGTAGAAATAAATCCAGATTTATTAACAAAAATTTCCTGTAATTTAGAGAATTTTTTTTTTTTAAAGTCATTTGCCTTGGCACTGAAGGTGAATTTCTAGAAACTATTGCAAACTAATATATTTTTAATACTGAAACAGTTTCTGATACTTTGCTATTTCCCTTTTCTTCTAAAAAATTCAATTCTATAGATGCAATTAGTATGACATAATAGGACTTAGCATCAAATGTTTATCTATGCCGTAAATGTACCTATGTGACTTTTTATACATTTATTAGAAATCACACTACTTTTCCATTCATAAGAAAAGTGAAGTGGGTACAAGCTGTTCAGCCTGTCTTATATTGTCGGTCAGTTGGATTTCTTGATACGTTTTTAAATAAGTTGTATTCATTGATACATTTAGTCACTTGCTTAGTCAATTGATCCAGATGGCTGCCTACTTACTACGTGACATAATTTGTGATGTTTGAATTTTGTGACATTTTAAGGAAACTAGCTGTTAAAAAACTTCTTTGAAATTATTTTAAAACATTAGCCCTATTATGCAGCATGTTTTGCTTGAATTTAAATATTATGAATCAATATTAACATACCAGTCAAAAAAGATTGAGGATTAAAGAAACCCGAAAGCCACACTACTGAAGGAAGTACAAGATCTTGTGTCCAGGTATCAAGTTCTCGGCAACGCAAAAGAAGGCCATTAAACCTGTATAAAAATATAGCAATGGTAAACATAGGTGCATAAGTAATTAATTTGGGGAATAATTTGCATTATATAATTTATATCGCTAACATATATTATTGGTAATAAATCATACTAGTTGTATGGAGTAGCCTGTTGCATATAAAATATATTACCTTCTAATAAACAAGAAAATATATGCTAAATTCAGGATGGATTAATACATGATCTAGGAGAATTTTTAGAAACTCTTCTTTTAAATTTTGAGTCCTAAAAATGTCATAGGACATGCAAAATCATACTAATATTGTTCTGTTCATTTTAAGGTTCCAAAAGTTTTTTGAAATTTAAATAATGCTTTTTTTCCTTTCATCGATGATTTATAATGTAATTAAAGAGGTCCATTTCTTAAAGATATGCATTTACCATTGCGCAAGACTGTACGTAGATGGGTAAGCCAGACTGGACCATGCATCTGGTACCTGGTCATAGAACAGTGATGATTGTAAAGTTTCCATACTAGATGAAAACGTTAGTTCACCCTAGAAATTTGAAGCAAAAAAAACATTTAAATTAACAATCCCAGTTTAAGATCTATTTTCCCCTCATAGCACATGTACATAGAGAGTACGCCATGGCAAGATAGGGGGCAAATAAATTTAATAATAATGCAATGTATTCCTTACTTTTAATCCAAGGTCTAATTGTTTTATTGATCGCCGTATCTCTCTAATAAGAATATTCATTCTCTCACATTCTTGAAAACACACAAGAATATATGGGCTTCGTACAGCAGACTTTTGCATTATCTCAGCTAAATTAAATTCTTCTGGAAGCTTTTCCAAAATTTCATCCAGTACATTTTTCACCTTATAAATGCAAAGTAAAATTAGTAGGTATGCATTTTGTTTACATTAGTCATGCTCTATAAAGCAAACACCAGTTGGAATATGTGTTGAACATGCAGAACACTGCATTAAAAAAAAAAAACAGGGTTATAGATATTGTTTGTCATTTGGGATAAGCCTGAAACAGAAAATGCATCTTGTTTCAAACTCAGATCAGAATATCACAATCCAGAGATTCTGCTAAACTAATGGAATTAACTGTAGTCCATCATAAAGAAAAAAACCCCAAAATATTTTGATTGTTCAAATAAAACAAAATTAGAGTGGGTTTTATGGGACCATAAAGGTTAATTGTGTGAACTGCCCTTTTCGCTCTTCCTCCCCTCAGCATTTCCTGATCTGGTCTACTGATCTCTCAAAGTCTTTCCTTTTTTATGTCCTTTGAACCATCATTAATGTCCATGACGTTTTCTTCCTGGCTCCATGCCACCCCTCCCTGCTGCTTCTGCTTCATCCCATATGGATGAAAAAAAATAAATGTTTCAGTTTAGGCATGGACTAAAACTAATTCTT